GTGTGTGTGTGTGTGTGTGTGTGTGTGTATCAGCGATGTTGATAGTTATTTCACTGATGTTGATATCGAATTAGCCGTGCTATTCCATTTGATTATCCTCGTTATTGGTACTTTGCGCCACTCATCCATGTGCATTTGCAACCATTTTCCAACATTGAGAGAACACATACGTATACAAAAGCACACATTACGAAGGTATATATATCAAGAGTATGCGTGTGTCCTTTTGTGTTTATTCGTACATGTAGACTGTACATATTGCTGAATCTTTGTGCGCACACATGCACATTACTATATTGGTAGGTACACTCAGATAAGCATCAAATGCGCACCACACGAACGGAGGCAAGTCTTCACATTTTATTCACATGAACCGGATTAAAGCGTCTTTTGTGCGCTAAAATATACTCGCATACAATCACATACGCACCTGAGTTGAAACTTGCGCACATTCGAGTTCCAACTTAATTTGTAAACACATATTCGTGAATCCATTCCATTCTACGCAGAACGTGCATGTCAGTGTGTACGCAAAACCATCTTGTGCACAGGTACCTACAGATTATTCAATCTAGTCTTTCAGTCGTTAAAGCTTGGGTGCAAATACACTAACAGCAAACGTATATGTCTGAGATGGTATAGGGATGTTTGAGCATATACCTATAAGCTTAAATTTGCATACACACAAACAGTTAACTAGAACGCCAACGTATGTATATATCGGTACAAACCTGCACAAGTATCCCACAGGCCAGAGGTGCGTGTCAGTTGTAGCTCATGCGCCATGCGCAACTTGACAATCAGTAACACTACAATACACTGCGTGCTAGGGCACACAGACCATACAGCAATAAAATGCGAAGCAAAGTGAAAACGTAGGTACGTCAGAGCGTACGAGTTGATATACGAAGTGACTAACGTGTGGTGTGACCTTATCATTGAGTGGTGCTACAGACTGTAATTTGAGTGGTGCTACAGACTGTAATTTAAGTGGTGCTACAGACTGTTACAAGAAACGGACACTCTCGAAGGATTCACACTGAATCTAATTGAGACATAGAGTGCATTTCCAGAGACTGCAGGTGTAGCTCATAGTAAGTACTACAACTACTCAAGCACAGTCACCCGATAGATATATACACATGCACGTCTGTAATGACAATATGCAATACTGTGAGACTAGCTCATCTGCATATATATCTAGGGGCTCATCCCACACCACCAAACAAACACGTGACCGTCCCAGGTGTATGTGCTGTGAGACGCGCACACTTTAATACAGGTACAATACACTCACCGTGTCAAGTGTCTCATCCCTGGTTGCCCCTACACTCTCCTCTGGCGGTGGAAGTCCCGTTAACGCATGCAATGCAAAGGTAACCGCCTCCCCATAACTCCAGGGATGTGTATTAGCTTTATTCCTGCTGGGGTCAGCCCCCCCGCTTACGTACCGTCGATTTGCTTTGTAACTAGGGATGTCTTGCACACGCACGCGAGTAGTGCTGAGGTCCACCTTGGAATAGTTGGTCTCCATGTGGGGTGTATCTACACTAGCAATGGTTGTTATGGCAACAGAAACTCCACCTTCCGGTGGAGAATCCATATTGAGAGCATCGCTAGTAGCACCTGTAGGCGTGGATTGATCTCTTGCACTGGCAGTGGCCACCGAATTCGCCTCTATGCGTGTTGCATTCTGATCACTCACCCCTGTTAACTCTGGTATGTACGTTGAGAAACTGAGCAGTGCTATGGCTATAGCTAAAGTAGCTGTACAAGCTAGGAGAAGACTGTGTACGTGTATGCGCATACCTAAAATTGTGCGGTAGTGCACACTACAATGCTCTCTCCATCCCCACGCTGCACTCATGGTGATGACCTACGATCAGAATAGTATCACCAAGGAGTGTATAAGTATGTATGCAGATGGCCGTAAATTTAACGGGTATGAGAAGTTGGTAACTCCAAGCCAGGCATGTCTACACTTGGTATGGGAATGGTGGTGACAGGTGAGACATGCGATACAGACAACAGGTCACAGTGCAGGTTCAAGAAGGGTATTAAAACACGCGGGGTTATAACTTTAACACCTCAACTTTAACACTAGTCCAGATAGCACATTGAAGTCATGACTCGTGAACGGACACAGAAGTACAGATAGGATCTAGATGGTTATTAACCAATGAAACCTGTTATAAATAAGAGATCTTAAGCTAGAACCCGTTCGTGTTGCTCTGAACTATGATTAATTGTAGCCAATGAAAATATGTTTTAAGAATTTTATAAATCGAACAATTATTACATCGACGTATCGAAACGCGCAAATTAAATGGTGAATAAACTAACGTATGAAATTGCGCTTATAATGCTTGTGTGTGTATGTGTCATTACTCAATTTTTTAGTTTATTAGTTCTTTCGATTGGTTCCGGATTTAGATTTTCAGGCTCTGCCCGGTCTCCCGTTTTCTTTTTCCGGGTCTCCGCCCTCCGCCCTCCGCCTATATAAGTGCCCTGCGCGTCCGGTGTTCTCCTCAATTCCTGAGACCTGAGTTCGAGTTCCCACTTCCAAAACAATGTTGTCTTTCATTATTGCCCTGGCCGCCGTTACCGCCTTCCATTCCGGCGCTCTCCACCCCTCTGCCTCTGCCATCGACGCTGCCACCAACGCCGACCCTGTCGATACCTCACCTACTGCCACCGCCAGCCCATACTTTGAAATATACGCCAACGGATTCCCGGCGTTTCCCGGTTAGGGCCATTACCAAAAAGATCACCGGTCAGATCAAATTCAGTCAGGAATCCATAAATGCGCTCATGCTATATTCATCACTCATGGACAAGATTTTTACTATAACAAACACCCTTGCCGTCGCGTCCAAGCGTTCCACCGTCCCCATGTCCGGTCTATAGGTCGTACGCGTCATCATAGACATTGATAATTATGCTATCATCTGCACTGAAGTCGGAAATTCAAGATCACCGGTTCCAAACACGAGTCTTGGATCAAGTCCAACCTTCGTAAACTCGCATACCGCGGCGATGCCATGTTGCACATCAAGTCCGAGATCATGGACGTCGCCCAGACCATAATGGTTGACGACCTTGCATGTCTCATCAACAAGATTAACATTCTCATACAATACCTCAAAAAGGTCACAATCTCCCACGCCGAAGTCGCCGAAGTCTTAAAGAGCCACGGCGGCACCACGCTGTTGCAGAGAGGCGTGGCTGACCCGCGTCATGTGCTAGAAGAAATAAATCAATAAATATTGTGTTTTTTTCTATTTATGCCACCACCCTCCCCGCATCAGGGACCGCCCATACGATACCCTTGTTAACAAGCGACGCCTCGCTGCTCACACTGCTCACACTGCGCACCGTAAACTGCGCATTGCCGCGGAGCAGCTTGTGCTTGTACGCCGGGATCCGCAGGGACTGTGTGTGCTTCTGGTAACCATTTTCCGCGTCCAAATACGAAATGACGCCCGGGTAATTCTTGGCGAGGTCGGCCGTCTTTTATGAGGACTCGTCTTGGTAGCGGTCCATGTCGTGTCGTAGTCACCATAGTCCTCGGGGTTTACCCCGAGCGCATCCATACTGTTGTACTCGGTCCCGTGCACTCCCTTCGCCTATGCTTCATCCGTCCGCTTTTATGGGGATCGCCAGGACTTCAGATTCGTATTTATTATTCAGCGGATATTTTTAAGATAGCGCCAATGATTTTGCATACTTTTTGAGCTGCACCGTACGCGCATTTTCGCGCTCCGATTAGTACGTCCCTGTGGATATTTACGCCCAAGTCTTCTTCCCGGCGTTGTCGTACTTGGCGAATTTGGAAGCGCTTTTTCCCGAGTCAAGCTCGACAACTTTAGCGTTCGAAAACACCATTGTTTTTGATTGGTTGCCGCTGTCCGACCACGCTAAATTCAGCAAATGCCGCCCTTGGCAATCTTATCGTATGAAAATTTACCGTATATGGGCGACGACTAAAACCCTAAACCCTGCTTCTCACTGGATGTCAACGTCTCGTCGTTCTTGTATTTTTTTCTAAATGGCGTCCATATCCCCGAACGTCGACCCGATCCCGATCTTGGTTTCCTTGGCGTGTTGGTGGGCGGCGGATTGCGTGGCGTTCAGCGTCTCGCCCTTCTTCTCCTT